CTGAGCCCCAGTGAATGCTCCAAGGGACTTCAGGCTAGGGAAGGAAGGCTGTGACATCAGCTTTAAGCTACACTCACAAATGGGCATCTCTCTTGAGGTTTTACCCACCCTGCTTTTGCTAGGAGGTGGGGGGGAGGAGAAAATAATGTTTCACCTTTTAAATTTCAAGGTATCGTCCTGGACTCTGGTGACGGTGTCACTCACAACGTGCCCATTTACGAAGGCTATGCTCTGCCTCATGCAATTATGCGCCTGGATCTGGCTGGCCGGGACCTCACGGACTACCTCATGAAAATCCTCACAGAGCGAGGATATTCTTTTGTCACCACCGGTAAGGTGGAATTGGGTCTCTCGGGCTCCAGGGGGGTGGACTATATTAGTATTTCTTTCTCTGCCAAGGGATGGACAAAAGGACTCTTCTTTTAGGGAACTGTCCAGTCTCTTCTTAAAAACCTCCAGTGACGGAGCGCCCACGACTTCTGGTGGCAAGGAGTTCCACTTGTTAATGGTCCCTACTGTTCGGAAGTTTGTCCTTAATTCCAGTTGCTTCTCTTCTTGATTAGTTTCTGTCCATTGTTTCTTGCCCTGCCCCTCCGGTGCTTTGGAGGTGTGGATTAGTGCAGGACATACCCGCAACTCAGAGGAGCCCATGTCTGTTCAGACATGCCTTACACCTGCATGTTCAGTGCCCTGCTGTGGGCTGCTGCGGGTGCAACCAGCCTGTGTCTTCCACAGCTGAAAGAGAAATTGTGCGGGACATCAAAGAGAAGTTGTGCTACGTCGCCCTGGATTTTGAGAATGAGATGGCCACAGCAGCTTCCTCGTCATCCCTGGAGAAAAGCTACGAGCTGCCTGATGGACAGGTCATCACCATCGGCAACGAGCGGTTCCGTTGCCCCGAAACCCTCTTCCAGCCCTCCTTCATAGGTGAGTCTCTCCTGGGGAGCATCATGGAGAAAACATCTCACTCTGGGTAAAGAACAAATGGGAAGCCATAAACGGCTTTGCAGGGAAACCAGAGGTGGGATTCAGCAGGTTCTGACTAGCTCTGGAGAACCGTTAGTGGAAATTTTGAGAAGTTTGGAGAACCTGCAAATACCACCTCTGGCTTGCCCCACCCCCACCTACTCTCTGTCTCCCGAGTCCCAGCTGATTGGGAGGAAATGGAGATTTTGCAGTATCCTTCCCCTGCCACACCCACCAAGCCATGGCACACCCACCAAGCTATGCCCACCAACCATGCCACACCCACTAGGCCACGCCCACAGAACCAGTAGTAAAAAAAATTGAATTCCACCACTAAGTGAAACTGTCGGGAACCCTAAAGTCACGAATTCAGTGAAACTAGCAACAACAAATAGCTTTGGTTTTCTGTTATACACTGTGGTCAAAAAAGTCAACATGGCAGCCACAACGATGCAATCAAAGCCCAGCCTCTTTTTATATGCGTTGCAAAGGCCTTCGGCCATTACTACCTGAACGCTTGTGATGGAAATGGGAGGGCCCCCCCATCTTTCCCAAAGATGTTCTGCGGAAAGAAATTGTGCCCAATGGTAGCGTTTAGGGTAGTGACGGTGATAAAACAAGGTGAACTTTGATGCAAAAATCATTCTTCAAGCTACAGAGGGAATTCTAGGTCAGCGCTGATTCCTCACTGGATCTGTGATCTTGTGCTCTTTCCACAGGCATGGAATCGGCTGGCATCCATGAGACAACATACAATTCCATCATGAAATGTGACATTGACATCCGCAAGGATCTTTATGCCAACAACGTTCTTTCCGGAGGCACCACCATGTATCCTGGCATCGCAGACAGAATGCAAAAAGAAATCACCGCCTTGGCTCCCAGCACAATGAAAATAAAGGCAAGTCTGCTGACTTTTGGGGTCCCCCAACCCCTGGGTCCTGGCTGGCTATGGGTCCGCGGTCTGTTCAGAACTGGGTTGCCCAAGTGGCAGGCAAGCACACCCCGTTCCATTTGCGCGAGCGGTGGGCACTCATACATGCCTGGGAAGCTCCATTTGTGCAAGTGGCGGGCATGTTCACCGCTCGTGCAGACGGAGCTTCACGCTGTGCATACGAGGCCCCCCCACATGAGCAAATGGAGCCTGTGCACAGGAGCAGAAACACACACTTGCCTCTCACATGGAATAATTTCTTCTCCCGTCCCGCCGGTCTGCAAAGCTGGGAAGGTTGGGGGCCATTGGTTTAGCACACCTGCAATCAGTACAGGTTGTGCAACCTTAGACAACTGAAATCAGTTCTGTGTATTTGGGGTAACCAGCAGCAGCTGCGGCAGGAGATAATCCAGGATAATAATATGGGAGTGTTTAATTGGGAGCCCCCAGAGTTGGCCGAAAGATGGGCAGCTATATAAATGTTTGAAATAAATAAAGAAGTTCAAGGAGAATGTCTTCTTCCTATGAACAGATTGATCCAGCTCTGCTGAATTTAGGACCCATTGATGTGGATTTTAGGATTCTGCACATTTAGGAAAAACCAAATGCAGCATCCTAACATATAAACATTGGACAAATGTTGCATAATATACATAGACCAAGCATTCTGGGGTTTTTTTTTGGGGGGGGGGGGCTTTATAGCTCTTCAGGTTAGAATTGTTTGTTTTTGCTGAATCCTGCCTCTTTCTAATTCCATTGTCAACTGACCAGCAAATGAATCTCCACGTTTTCTAGTCTCAGGGAATCTCTCTCACTAATGATGGAAGAGTAGAATCTAATATAAAAGCTGTTCTTTCTTTCTTTCTTTCTTTCTTTCTTTCTTTCTTTCTTTCTTTCTTTCTTTCTTTCTCTCTCTCTCTCTCTCTCTCTCTCTCTC